CCATATCATGAGGTACGGTATCCTCCAGAGAGGAATCTAGGTGTGGGACGTTAGATGTGACGCCCGTAAGCCGCGCGGTGGCGTCTTGACTCACATATTATATTTACCTCAGCGTTTTACTTAGGCCTTTTGTTTCTTTCTGCGCTGTCTTAAAAACGTATTAAATAACTAAATGTTGAAGGGTGATGAAACGTGACGTGTTTGTAGACCTTTGGATGCACTGTCGTGAGATATCTGTGAAATATTTGTACACATTTTATTTATTTTTCTTCCGTGTAATGTACAGTTCAGATGGCTGACAAGCAACCACCGCCGACCAAAGTTGAAAAGAAGCGACAGGCACCAACTATGGCTTTGCCTAAGGAACCCAAAGAGAAGAAGGGCATTCTCAGAAGCCTTTCATTCCAGGTACTGAAGAACTTTCCAGGCATTCTTTTACTTCGCTTGCTCGATTGGTTGATGTCAAAAATTGTTGCACCGGTCTGAGATCGTTATTTCGGGGTGGAACAGAAGAAGTTTTGGTCAATTTCTGAGGTGCACCACGGAATCTCCCTACGTGAATTGCGTAGGCTTACAGACACTTTATCGTACATTGTACCTATCGATATTTTGGTAATCTTAGAATATAATATGGACTTAAAGGCAAGCTCCGGGATAAAATTGGTGATAAGAGCGCTTCGTAATGATGACTGAGCTGCGGGACGGCCTGAAAGTGGAAAGCTAGAGAAATCTTTGGGATCGCTGAAATTAAGGCCTTAACCTTAAGGTCGGATGTGGAACGATGGCGAGGCAGGGCGGTCAAAGAAGACAAAACACGCGAGAGATCACGCCGTTCGAGAGAGCACGCCGATATCGAGGTGGGTGGGAAGCGTTGCAACGGGGTCGATGGTTGCAGGCCCGTAAGGATTAGCGCCCTAACCGCGCAATTTTTGCGACGAAGCTGGAGTGATCTAGGTAGGTAGGACCTTACAATTTCCCTCGCGGTATCCTTCCTACTAGTCGGGCTAATCCCGGGGTTTGCCTTTAAAATTAATATGTCATATGCGAAATGAAGACATATGTATAAAATAATTAATAGAAATAAACAAATATATAAATAAATAAATTGCCCAAAGTTCATAGTGAAAGACCACTTACCTTTGTGTTCAGTTTTCCAATCTTGGCAGAAGAAAAGACAATCACTACGATATGACACCAGAAGAAACGACCCTTGGCGTGCAATGTTACGGCACACTTTTCAAAAAGTACAAAAAGAAGAATCGACCGGCCACATGGTCAAAAAGGTAAACCTTATTACGATTCATCTCTTTCCTTTATCCAAAAAAAAACAGTACAATTCAGGTTTTTTATCCTCAAAGAGTGTTTCTTGATATACTATTCAACTCGCTTCAAGAAAACCTTTCAGAAGAACAAACGGATCAATTTACATCCAAAGGTGAGTTAGACCTTTAGCAGAAACTGAGTTGCTGATATGTTTACGTGAGGGGATTTTCGCCCTCGCTGTTGAAAAAATACATATCCCACTGAAAACCTCCGACCTTAAGGTATTTCTTTTGCCCAGGAATTTTCTACTAGAACCTTTTCTTTTTTATGAAGTCAACGCCGTCTGGAGTTCTTTTTATTATATTATATCTCCTGATTGTCTTAGGTATCGCTAGAACAATACCCTTGCTCGATCCTGAAGGAAATAGCGTCTGCCGAAACAATCTCTGCTCGAGCGCGGCTTGCAACTTGCCCGTATTACATCCCGAAAGCATTGGAATTCTTTCTCTCGTCACATTCCATCGTATCCTTTGACTTCAAAACAGACAATACGACTCCACCCAGTTGAACGCCTGTCGCGCCATCTGTGTGCGGGTTCCCCTATATAAAATTAACCCATTCGCGACCGCGGGATTGCGCAATGGCAGTACAGTCAGGAAATTTTTGTTCAATAAAATTTGAGTGGACGGAGATTTCCTCTACCCAGGGCTGGACGTAGATGAATGAGGGTATGAGGATTATTTTCATGGAAGAAAATGTTCCAAATCCCATTTGAAACGCGGTAGCCAACGGTGGATGCCATTGCTCGAGTGAGATCTTTGTCAGCCACCGGTGGCTGACACGTTGTCACGAATGGGTTAAAAGTTACGGAGGCACATTATGATATTCGACAAGACTGTTTATCGGCTCTTAGCTGCCTGACACACCAATAATTTAAAATAACCCTGAAAAATCGGAAAAGGTAATTTTCTTGTCTCCATGCATGGGCGAGTTGTTCTCTTTGCGAATTTTTCTTGTCTCTTGCCCTCCTCACTGTGACTCCCAACCCTCCCCTTGCGGGGCTCGCACACACATGCATGCTTTTAACTCACCACACCTTAGGTTTCACCATATGACACTTCGCGCGCTCCACTTCTTCGTTTTTTTTTCGAGGTGCATTTCCTAGAACGGACCGTGAAATACAGAACAAAATGACGTCAAATATATAATGAAATGATAATCGAAATCTGTGGTACATATTAGCACTCATCAGCACCTAAATATTGTATAACACAGAGAGGCACCAAAATTTTATTTCAAAAGAATTCCAAAAGTTCAGAAAGTTCGAAAATTCCAAAAACTCGAAAGTTTCAAAAGAGCAAAAAGCTATTTGAAAAAGAATCCTTTTGAAATCCTCCGCGATATTTCGGTGTTTAACACCTTCTTCAGGCCTGAAATACATTGATTATAGTAGATGTAAATAATTTGGTGAACTACTATGCCCATATTGATACCCACATGTGTTTGCCACTGCCAAGTGTAAAGCTGCCCTTACGGGAGCCGCGCCTTTGTAGTGAAGAGAAATGAAATGACTTACCCACCACCCCCTTCTTAAATAGTAGCGGACGTACTGTGACGGTCATTGCATGTGATATGAAAAATTGCGTGACATTGGGCACGCAGTTAAGTTAATAGTTGTAGAGCGTCACGTAGTTCGTCCTTACTATTTATTTCGGGGGATAATTTTCTTATTTCTAGCGCCTCCAATAGTTTCCTCTCCAGCGGGTTTTCTATAGAGCGATGTAATACACTAATGATTAATGTGGGGGGTTCCCCATATGGATGTTTTTTGGTGCGGTGCTTGGAGAAGCTGTTGTTTGGATAAGAGGCTGGGTTTTGTAACGCTCTTCGATGCTCATCCAAGCGCTTGTAAAGAGGCCGTTTCGATTCTCCAACATATTTTTGGCCGCATCCTTGACATTCTATTAAATAAACGGTGCCCCTCAATTGGCAAATTTTATTGTTGTTACAGTATGCACAACTTCTTCTTCCACATTTTTCTTCATATGGTCTTGAATAAGTGAGTAGATGTTTGAGATTAGGCGGTGGACGAAATATAAGGCGTATGGGGAGCTTTGACTTTTTGACCACACTGTTAACTTTTTGTGCCGTACTCTCGTTCAGATACGGCATTACCATGGGAACTCCATCCGGTGTTGTATGTGGTCTCCATGTGGCAACATGTGTATTTTCGTAGCCATTGTCCCTCAGGATTCGGTCCACCGCGACATCTACTTCTTCCCATCTTTGTGTGCATACTTTTTCTTTTGTTTTTAACAAATTGCGAACTACGTTCGCTTTCATATAGGAGGGGTGGCAGCTTCTGGAGTGTAATAGTACATTTTTTGACGCTGGTTTCTTATACCAAGAAAGCTGTTTGGCTCCATTCTCAATTCTAACTCTTGTATTGAGGAAAGGGAGAAATCCCTCCTCATTTGGTTCCTCAACCGTGAACTTTATATTGGGATCCTGTGAATTAGGTGATTTTTTTTTGACGGATGATTTGACGGTAAGTTATACGACAATTTTTCATATCACATGCAATGACCGTCACAGTACGTCCGCTACTATTTAAGAAGGGGTGGTGGGTAAGTCATTTCATTTCTCTTCACTACAAAGGCGCGGCTCCCGTAAGGGCAGCTTTACACTTGGCAGTGGCAAACACATGTGGGTATCAATATGGGCATAGTAGTTCACCAAATTATTTACATCTACTATAATCAATGTATTTCAGGCCTGAAGAAGGTGTTAAACACCGAAATATCGCGGAGGATTTCAAAAGGATTCTTTTTCAAATAGCTTTTTGCTCTTTTGAAACTTTCGAGTTTTTGGAATTTTCGAACTTTCTGAACTTTTGGAATTCTTTTGAAATAAAATTTTGGTGCCTCTCTGTGTTATACAATATTTAGGTGCTGATGAGGCTCCGGGACAGCACAATATTAAGAACTTCTCATATAACATTCAAAGAGCGAAACTATGTATTTGTGTCTGAATGATCATTTAATTCAGGGTATAATTCCCCTAATTGGCTGGCTCGATTGTGTGCGGAGGTGATGTCGGCGGAGGTGATGTCGGCAAGAAGCACTGCCTGCTCATCGCCCATCCACAGTTCCCGTCGGCGATCATCGTAGCAGCTCCAGACTTCAAAACACAGGAAGAGTGGTTGAAAGCGCTACGAAATGCGACAAAGATGTACGTTCCACTAATATGTTAGTGATTATTAGCTTTCTGCAAGGTCATTAATGCCCACCAAATTACAGATCTTTCAAAAACACCTCAAGTGGGTGAGACGATGATTCGAGAGCTGGAAAGCAAAGGGACTGTTGCTGTGTGAAGAAAAGAAGACTTACGAGGAGAAACTCGAGCATGAGGCCAAAGCACGCAAGGAGGAACACGAACGAGCTGCTGTGAGTGTTACCTGTAAGATGAGCCTCGAAACCATAGACTCGTTCTCCTGGCCTTGGGAACACCAGCAACAACCATTCATTTCCTCGAATACCGCTGGCAGCAGCAACTACTTGTGTGACCCTGACCGCAAAAACTTGAAATTTGAGCCCTCGAAATTGATGCTCCCAGATTGAGCTTACAGAATTCATGTGTTCTGGTTCTCCGAGCCGAATCGAACTTTACTTTTTTTCCAAAATATGCTGATTACGTAAGACTTGGTTTTCATTTGCATGAGCATAGAAAGGTGCACTGTCTGGCACCTCTGACTCAAGGTCCGGGATTTCTGTTCGAAAGCTAAGCTTCCCCTTTAAAAAGTGCATGGCACGCAAGCGGGGAGCATGTACACAACTGTCGGGATAATTGATAACTTGCACTTTCCCGGGAAATGAGAGGTGTAGGTTCGAATCCTGCCTAAGGCGAAATTTTCGTTCCCAGCATTCTTGTGAAATCATGGCATGGTTTCCGTGACGGGGTCTTCATTAGTCGGCTGTCAAGCTGGGCCTGACGCTGGTAAAGAAGCTTTGCATGCAGGGCATGTCTAACCTTCGGCAGGGATTGAACTCGCGCTTCCTAGAGATGCAGACATGGACCTCCATTCTTACCCTCCCCGTCCTTGCCTTTATTGGAAATAAAAATTGAGAAAATACGAAAAAAGGCTGGTCGAGTTTGTGCCAGAGGGAAATTCCCCGAAGGGATGAACGATAACCCTCTAACGCCGGACCTCGCACAACTTCGGTGTCACAAAAACTATAAGA